TAAAAATATCAACCATTATAATCAGTTATTTTACACTGGTTAAAAAAATCTATTTTTTTGATACATCAACTAATCGATTAGTCAATTAATCGATTAGTTGACAATAATCGATTAAAAATTAATTTTTTAAAAAATTTCTGGCAACTAATTGATTGTATTTTTTGGTTTAATTTGGAACATTAAACTAGGTGGTACTCTCTCGCAAAAGTTTGTCTGGGTGTAAAAAAATTTGAAAGAGGGTTTAATCGATGTATTGACCTTAGTAAAAATGAAAATTATCTAATGATAAAAGCAGAGATTCAAGAAATAATCACTAACTGTTATCATTTTGCAAATAATGATACATTAATTAAAGTACTCATTCCAGTTGTTGATACTATAGATTGCCTTGAGTCAAGAGATGCGACATTAGCTGACATTTTCAAAGAACTAATTAATATTCATCGCATTGTTTCTGCAGCAAATATTCTGATAGAAGGGTTCAAAAATCATGTCTTGGCAGCTATTGATAAACGAATACGTGAATTCTCTGATAATATATATTTTATTGCTTTTTTTTTGTCACCAAGCCATAAGAATATTGCAATATCAGTACGAATGTCAGGAGATTCAATTGTCAGGTCAAATATTTGTTTAAATTTTGTTATTACTATTCCAAATAAGATTTTTTTTTTTTTTTTTTTTTTCTTTGACAAAATGTTGCAGAGTACCATTAATACACAATTTATTACAAATAAGAATTTTAAATACTACAGTAATTATATATAATACTAAATTAATTTACCTGTATATATCGTTTTTTATCTATTTTTTTAGGGCATCTTTGGAGTTGGCGAAAGCTTGAGTTTTGATAAAAGAGAAACGACTCTTTTACTTAAAGAGCTTATTAGTTATAAAAATGGTGATGCTCCTTTTGATCATCAAAGAAATATTGAAAATGTTAACCCTAGAAATTTCTGGACTAGGTTCTCTGAAGGTTCTCCACTTCTCCGACGTTTTGCCATGAAAATATTCGCGATCGTTCCACATTCTGCAGCCGTCGAACATTTATTCTCTAGTCTAGGGCTAGTAAAAACAAAATTACGAAATAGAATGTCCCCTACCTTAATTGGAATGCTTGGAATGCTTCGTCATGACCTTCAACAATGCTTACCTGAAATACCAAGTAAAAAACCTAAAGTGGATAATAAAGATTTACTTGAAGATTCTACAAGTAATGATATTGAAAGTGCCAATGTTGATCCCTATTTTGAGGAAGAATTCGATGATGAGTTTTTGCAAATTAACGTTGAAGAAATAAATATGACGGTGATTAATGAGAATGGACTAGCAATAAATAATTTTTTTGATATTGGAATGTCCGAACAGGATCAAATGGAAATAAGTGAAAAAAATTTGACCACTTATTCTCAAAGAACTACTAATAGTGGTGAAGATTGGTCAATCGACGATATATTTAAATCATGCAATAAGTTTTATTCTTTTTGTTGGGATAGGGTATATAATTATAACAAATATAATATTGGGGGTTTTTTTTTTTTTTGGTTACAAAATATTTTAGAAATATAGCGATTTTCTGTTTTATAAAGCGAACCTTGACTCTAATAAAGTAACTCGTTAGAATCTAAACTTTGAAAAAAAAAAAAATGAATATAATATTTTTTTTTTTTTGCATAATACTTATCACTGATACCCGTAACTACTAAAGATGCATCAGATCAGAGTTTTATACATAAAACTAACTAATCAATATTATAAGTTCTTTGTAAATGTAAATTGATCGTAACGAAGGATTGAAGTTGTACGTATGTATAAGATTATCAATAGTAAATATCCGGAATTTTAGAAAAAAGAAATTACACTGTAGATCTATGCATGTACGCATGTACGTACGTACGTACGTGCAAAAATTGTAATTAAACATATACATATGATTAGCAAGACATATAGAGCTTACAGTAGCTTTAAATAATTACAGATATTGCATGTTAAAATAAAATGTATCTCTTTATTATGGTATCATACTGCTTTTACTATAAGTAGAAGATATCTAAGCGAAGATAATGATAATTTATATAGATTGTTATTGCAATTTAATTGGCCTATTATTATATGACCCGCCATTTCATTGGATGATCCTTCTAAGTGGCATGCCTCTTTATTAATTTTGCCTTTTGGCATGCCATTGGCATGCCACAATGGCATGCCCATGACCACTGTGCCACTTTCCCTAAACACAAAGCATTTATTTATTATCAAAAAGCTGATAATATGGGAAATATGTTGGGAACATGTAATCTTGGAGAATGTTATCAATATGGAATCGGTGTTGAAATAAATTTGAAAAAAGCCTTTGAACTGTATCTGAAATCAGCTAAAATGGGTTATGTCGAGGGAATGAAATGCGTTGGTTATTTTTATCGCAACGGAATT